TGTCTGTGGGTGCTGTGTGTGTCTGTGGGTGCTGTGTGTGTCTGTGGGTGCTGTGTATGTCTGTGGGTGCTGTGTATGTCTGTGGGTGCTGTATGTTTGTGGGTGCTGTATGTGTGTGGGTGTTGTATGTCTGTAGGTGTTGTTTGTCTGTGTGTGCTGTATGTGGGTGGGTGTTGTATGTCTGTGGGTGCTGTGTATGTCTGTGGGTGCTGTGTATGTCTGTGGGTGCTGTATGTGTATGGGTGTTGTATGTCTGTGGGTGTTGTATGTCTGTGTGTGCTGTATGTGTGTGTGCTGTGTGTGCTGTATGTGTGTGTGCTGTATGTGGGTGGGTGATTGTGGGGGGTGGAGGTGGGGGTACATTATTTGCTATCCCCCCTCCCTTCTTACCTTTTGTAGGGAGGGGGGATCGTGCTGCTGCTTCCTTCCCTGGTGGTCCAGTGGAGGAGGGGATCCTTGCTGCTGTGATCCCTGGTGGTCCAGTGGAGGAGGGGATCCTTGCTGCTGTGATCCCTGGTGGTCCAGTGGAGAGTGAACTCTAACCCCTGTGGGGCTAGAGTTCACTCTCGCGAGATTTGAGCGTTGCCGTGGCAACGCTCATATCTCGCGAGAGGAACCCGGCGGAGCTGCCGGCAATAGCTCCGCTGGGTCCTCTCCTGCCTCCCTCCCTGCATGTGGGTCAGTGGGGAGGGAGGCTGAGAGCAGAGCCGGCGCTCGGATAGCGCCGGCTCTGCATGAGCCGACAGGGGAGATCCTGAGATCTCCCCTGCCGGTCTCAATATACATAGGCGTGCCGCGGGATTAGGGTGTGCCCAGGCACACCCGGCACACCCCGTGCGCACGCCTATGCTGGCAGCAAACACCGCTCTGAGGCAGGAGGGACTACCCCTAGCAACGGGGTCGAGCATGTAGGAAAAATAGCCAATAGGTCGCTGTCTTGAGCCATGTTTTTGGGTTAGGACTCCGGAAGCATTACCAGACTTTTCTGAGACAAACAGATTGAAAGGTAACTGGTAGTTTGGAAGGCCCAAAGCAGGTGCAGAAGCAATAGCTCTTTTCAGATTTTGGAAACAGGTAATAGCTTCTTCGGTGAGATGAAAGGGCTCACACCTGAAGGCGTCATAGAGTGGCTGCATGAGCTTTGAGGCTTCCGGTATCCAGGACCTGCAGTATGTAATGAGACCCAAGAAGGCATGAAGAGTCTGATGTGTTGCAGGTAATGGGAGTTGCAAAATAGCTTATACACGCTGAGAAGTTAGATGTCTGGTGCCATGGGAAAGACAATGTCCCAAGAAGACCACAGAGGGCCGGCACCATTGCAGCTTGGATTTGGAAGCTTTGCAACCAGCTTCAGCGAGAAAACATAGGAGATCTTCTGAGTCACGTTCAGCAATAAGTGAATCAGGAGCACAGAGAAGGTCATCAACATATTGAAGTAGGACAACATCAGAGTGAGTTTTCTGCCAGGGTTCTAGTACCAAAGACATGGCACGGGCAAACTGAGTGGGGGAATTCTGGGCCCCCTGAGGTATGACAATCCAGGTGTATTGTTGTCCTTCATGGGTAAAAGCGAAGAGGAAGCGACAGGAGGGGTCTAGTGGCACACTGAAAAATGCATTAGCCAGAACTACTACAGTGAATACCGTGGCTGTAGGTGGGACCTGAGATAGGAGAGTATGTGGATTTGGAACAATGGCAGTATCATTGACAGTCACTTCATTGACAGCACGAAGGTCCTGGACCATCCTGTACTGGTCAGGTTGTCCTTTAGCAGTTCTCTTCTTGATAGGGAAAAAGGGGAAGAGGGAGTGTTACATGGAGACACATACTTAATGAGGGCACCTTTGGCGATTAGGCTTTCGACTTGTTTGGTGATAGCATCAGTTTGTGCAGGTTTCAGAGGATACTGTGGCCTACGGGGGGTAATGCTCCTGGCAGGAGCTTGACCACAACGGGGGGCACTTGTAGACGTCCGATGTCATCTGGGCCGGTGGACCAAAGCTTTTGTGGGATACGGTCCAGAGCACTGGGGGTTTGTTGGACCCGTGAATTCCTTGTGGATGTGGTGAGGTTTAACAATATGGGCAGTGAGCAGAGTACAGTGGTGTCTGTCTGTGATAAGGGTGTAGTTAACTGGACCCTGGAGCCGAGAAAGAACATCAGCACCCAAGAGGTCAATGGGACAAGTAGAAGAAACAACAAAATGGGAGAGTATGTGTGAACCAACATGCAGGAGTGTAGGGAGGGGGCTACTGCGGGGTGTACCATCCACCCCAACACAGGAGACATCGGTGTCTGACAAAAAGGAGGGGTCTGGCAGGTCTTGTTCCCTAAGGACACTACGGGCTGCACCTGTGTCAACTAGAAAGGTGGTTGGGTGACCCTCCACGGGGAGAACTACAGTAGCTAAAGGCCCTCCCCCATCCCCCGCAGACACTGCAATGGCAGGGGTTGCTGACACAGGCTTGCCAGTTACCTATTGTGATAAATCTAGATGGGCCTGGTCTGGTCCCTGGTACCGGCGGGAAGTGGAAGGAGGGTTAGTAGAATGCATGGGAGGACGGGATGGACGGATGGCGTGGCGGGACTGTGGCTGGCTGTCTTGGAAATCATCGTTGTCATACCCTTCAGCGGAGGGCGAAGTGTATGCACGAGCTTCTGATGCAGGGAGCCGGGCTTGGGTGTATTCAGGAGGAGGAGGAGGTGGAGGAAGTTGAGGCAACTGTGGATGGGGCAGGGCAGGGAGGTAACCAGTGGAGGGGAAGTTATAGCCGGTGACATGGGGACTTGGGTACCAGGGAGTCTGTTGGCGGATCACTCTAGGTTGTGGGCAGTCTCTTCTAAAGTGACCTGGCTGATTACAATTAAAACAGGTCCGGATTGTCGTGATAGTCCGGTCCCGGGAGAAGGGAATTTGTGCAGGCAGTGTCTGGGGTGACTGAGTGTACTGTTGGGGGAGTAACTGAGGAACTTGGTTAGAACCTGCAATTGGTGTGGAGGTAGTGTACATCAGAGGACTAGTTCTTCGCTGTGTGGGTTGCAAAACAGATTCTAAGC